TAATTGTTATCAGGACTGATTGTGAGGGTCGGAAATGTAAAGGTAGACGTTTTATATCAAGGAGGGGAATGATTAACTTTTCAGTCTAGGAGCGGAGAGCGGGACCCTACCCAGAGATGCCTGAAATGGAGCTAGAGATGATGACGTGGAGCGATGAAGCAGCTGGAGACTTTAGATCCAGAGAGGGAGACGGACTGTGTGCTGAAGACCTGGGGGGTGCAGGGGAAGGACTGTGTGGAGAGGATTGTAACCATGGCAATGAGACGATATATGATAGAATGAATGTAAAACTAATGTTCTCCCATGTAAACTATCTCATAATTCACAAGAAAACATTCAAGGAAGAAAAAAAAAAGCAGGGGAGTAGGGGAGTCCAGGAGCAGAGGTCCCTGGGACCATCAAGGGAGAAGAGCTGAGTGCGGGACCCTACCCAGAAATAGTGATACCAGAGGTGGAGGCAGAGACGATGACGTAGAGAGATGGAACCATGGCACTGTAACAATATACAACAAGATGAATGTAAAACTAATGTTCTCCTATGTAAACTATCACATAATTCACAATAAAACATTAAAAACAAAAAAACCCACAAAGAATTAGTCACCAGAAGACCTACCTTAAAAAAGCAGCTCAAGAATTTCTCTAAACAGAAAGGAAAGAAGCAAAAATATGGGTAGAAGCAAAAATATGGGTAAATACAACATACTTTCCTTTTCCTGTTGTATTTTCCTCAGTATGTTTGACAACTGAAGCCAGAATTATAACTTTGATATAGTTCTAAATGTAGGTTGAGCAAATACTTACGATGGAGGTGAACACAGGGAAGTGAAGTTTTAATTGATCCAGTAAACTGACACCTCTCCTCCAACAGGTAAGAGATACACAAGGGGACTTCAAAAAGTCATGGATGCAAAGATAATAGAATTTTCCCACAAACTTTCTCAAGCTTGTATATTGTAATTGCTGGGTGGCATGGAACCCAATCCAACATATGACAACCGTAGGAGACAGTAAAGTGTCCCATAGGGTTTCTAGGCTGAAATAGTGTATGGACGCCGATTGCCTTATCTTCCATGGAGCAGCTGGTGGGTTCAAACCACTGACCCTTTGCTTAGCAGCCAGGCACTGCACCACCTAGGCTACTAGAGACAGAGACTTCAAAAAGTTTGTGGAATAATTCTATGAACTTTTATTCCACAATTAATAGAAATTTTCTATAATCTTCTGAAGCCCCTTTGTGTGTGTACATTTTTATGTATGTGTGTGTATGTATGTGTTGTTATGTAGTGCCATCAAGTCAGATCTGACTTATAGCAACCCTGTATAGTTTCCAAGCAACAGCTGGTGGGTTTGAACTGCCAACCTTGTGGTTAGCAGTCGTCCAGGACTTATCCTACAGTGCCATACCAAGAAAACCCCAAATGGAATTCTAAAATATATTCAAATAACCTGCAGAAAAAAGAGCAAAGAAACAAAAAGAACAGACTGCAACACAACAACATGAAGTATAGTAGTTAAAAAGACACACTTGCTGGTGGAAATATTAAATGGTCCAGCTGCTCCTGGAAATACACTAACAGATTCTCTGAACACTGAAACACTTACTATACAGCCCAGCAGTGGTCCTTCCTGGTACTCCAGGACATTTAACCTAGAAAAATGAAAACTTGTGGCTGTAGGAAAACCTATACACTGCTGTTCAGTCACAAATTGCAAACAACCCAACTGTTCATCAACAGGGAAATGGATAAACTGATCTAGCCATAAAGCAGAGACTATTCTACAATAATTGATAGATAGACAACAGTGTGGAAGAATCCCAAATCACACTGAGTGAAAAATCTCACGCCAAGAAAAAAAAAAGAATGGATGATGAAGAAAAGGAGACCTAGAGGAGACCGTGTCAAGGTCTAAAATATTCAGTTGGATACCCTTCAATCCTGAACTAAACAAACAACAGGACTGTGAGGTGAATTACAGTGCTGGGGAGTTACACACACTCTGTAACAGTCAACCATACGAGATGTGCCAAGAGATAAAACTCAGAATGGACAGGAAAGAAGGCTGGATGGAAAGGGCAAACAGGAAGTGGGAAGAGCGCTGTGACATTGTGGGGACCGCAGTCAATGTTACAAAATCCATATGAACTGTTGAATGGAAAACCAATTTGCGCTGTACGCTTTCACCCTAAGCACACATGTAGCCTGGAGTCTCGGACAAAAGAGCAAAAATGGCTTAGAACCAATAATGCAAAGTTCTTCAGAACTTACGAAGACCATCGATCTGATGGGGTTAAGTCCTCCCTTACAGACTTTACAGCAGAATGGGAACATCACCTACTACTCTGCTGCCCATGGGAGGAACAGATACCATCAATGATCAGCAGGACGCTAAAGCCAGTAGGAAAGGTTTACAGGAAGCAGAATCACATGGACACCACCTGAACACAATGACCCATCTTAACATTACCACAAGTGTACATTCTTATACGATGCTACAAGGAAGTACACAGAGCAGCTGGGGCAACAACAAAAAAGCCCAAATCAAGACTCTGAACAGCATTGTGAGGATGTAAGGGCTTACTCCACAGGTCAAAAGACCTGAAGACAGTAGGGAGGGAAGCAAATAGAAGCTGTGTTGTTCCACCTGAAGATATAAACTACGAGGGGAATTCAGAAAGGTCATGGAAAAGCTCCATTATCTTTTCATTGCATCTTTCCACAAACTTTTTGAAGCCCACTCCTACAGGCAGAACTGGGAGCTGTTGCGGATTCAGTTCCTGACCACAGACAGTAACTACTGCAAACAAGCAAGTCACATCAGTTTTCTGGTTTCCCAGTGCACTTAGCATGATGGAAAAAAGTGGAAACACTGTGCAAATGGCCGACATGGGACAGATGCTGTTGGAAAAATGACACCAACAGACTTGCTTGAACCAGGGGGGCCACAGACCTTCAGTTCCTAAAAACACAGCATCTGTCGAGTGCAATGAGACAAGGTACGTCCGTACTACACCATCTTTTAAACACTTCGTATCCAGTGATGTTAGATTTTTTAGAAAGCACTTGCTTACTTGCTTAGTACTTGATTCTATTTTTAGTATTTATATGCCCACACGTACAAATAAAAACTATGTGAAAACAAAAACTACTCCTAGTTAATCTGAGGCCATTGTCTACATGACACAATTCTCCCTATTTTCCACAGCAAATAACTTTAAAATGTTAACTTGGGCAGACTTTCATTTTTAGGCATCCATATCCACCCTCAGCTCTTCCTTAAACGGCTCCATGTGCATTAGGCCGACCCTCTCCCCTCATCTGGAGCCACGGGAAGTAGGCACTCCATCTGTGCCTGTCCCTTCCACTCTTGGAACCCACAACCATTGCTGTCGAGTTCGACAGTAGAACTGCTCTATCAGGCTTTCTTGGCTATCATCTTTACAGACACAGATCACCAGACCTTTCTTCCACAGCACCTCTGGGTGGGTTCAAACATTTAGGTTATTAGTTGAACGCAACCTGCTGGCCACATACATCCAGGGACCTTTCAACTCTCAGACCATTTGAATTCCTCTCACATTTCCCTTTCTTCTGAGAGAGATCTAGTGGAACATTCAGGGGCCAGGTTACCTCATCACACCACAAATCAAAATGCCTTTACATATAAAGCCAACATCAAATTTAAGAGATTACTTTCAACATCCAGAGGAAGTGTCTCATCTTCATGGTCAGCTCACCAGGAGGGAGTGGGTTTGGCCTGCAGTAAGTGATGTGAATCTCCCAGCACTTGTCGATGTAATTCATTGAATAGAACGTTCGCTGTTGCTCACTGAACAGGTTGCCTGAAAATATGGGGCAGGGGGAGGGGAGACAAATGAAAAACATTTAAGTGATGGTTTTCTCATTGTTGATTACTAGGGATGGGTGGGTGGGGTTCTCTCTCCAGATGGAAGATACATGTTATTTTGAGTGATGGGTAAAGTTGCACCAAATATGGATGTGATAAGCACACAATGCCACTTAGAAGTGCTTGAGAGAAAAGGATGTTTGTGCTGAAGAATAGGGTTAGAGAATTTGGTAATGGCACCACCAACAAAAACAATGTTAGTCACCTATGTGATTTATAGGCATGTATGTGTACAGGTAGGTATATACACGTGTGCTCAGGTTGAAGTGTCTATGTGTGTGCATGCAAATAGAGTCAGTGGAAGCAGTTACAGATGCTTCTCAAACATAACCAAACACCTTGCGAGAATGATTTTCTGATTTGAAGGTCCTTCGTCTCATGGGACAACTCAGTCAGCTGGTACCACAAAAGGTCACAGTTTGTATCCTAGTGAGGTAAGTAGCATTTGGGGTTTTAAAAGCTTGTGAGCAACCATCTAAGATGTTGGTCTCTACTTGTTAGGAGCAAAAGACGCAGAAGTAACCTGAAGTCTCAGAGAAGCAGCTAGCTAGTCTACAGGCTTGACGGCCTACACATATTCGGCCCTGTCTACCATGAGACCAGGAACTAGACGGCGCCCCGTTAACCACTACTAACCGTTCTGGTCGGAGCCACAGTAGATGGACCCAAACTACTAACTAAATTTTTGGGAATGTAGGACCCCCTCCCCAAGACTATTGTCCCCAAGAACCTTTGACCTAAAACCATCTCCTGAGGCCACCTTTTAGCAAAACAACAGATAGGCACATAAACAATACAAACAGTGAGGATGGTGTGTCACTAAAAAAAATCTAGGAGGCAGCTTCAGAAGGCTCGTGGAGAAATGGAATTGAAACATGACGGAATTAACTCACAAATTAACCCTTGTATATGAGACAATTGCTCTAATGCAACCATGAGATGGATGATGCGGGGGCAGGGAAACTGGAGCACTGGAAACAGAACCACCAGACAGCAAATATAGCAGTGTTGACACATTGTGTATGTTGACACATTGTGAAAAATCACCGAACAACTTGGAACCTAAGAGTCCTGGTGTGGCGCTGTGGGTTAATGCGTCAGACTGCAAAGCTGTTTGAACTGCAAAGTCAGCGGTTCAAGCTCACCAGCTGCTCCTCGGAAACCCTATACAGACAGGGTAGCTATGGGTCGGAACCAACTTGATGGTACTTAACAATAGCACTGTGGAATAAGCACTGGACTGCTAACTTCAAGGTCAGCCGTTCAAATCCATCAGTTGCGCCTCAGAAACCCTATACGGGGTTGCTATGAGTGGGAAATAATTTGTTATATAAACTTCTGCCCCAAACACAAGTTATTTTTTTTAATGGTGGTTTGTGTAATTCTAGGATGTTTGTATTTTACCTTGCACCTGGCATGCGTATGGACGAATGTTCTCAGTCATCAGTTTTGTGAAACATAGGAAAAGCGAAGGACTTCTATTTCTGTAATTCAAAGGAAATCAGTTAGTCTTTCCCTCAAGGAAGTGAACAATTCCCGTCTCCTGAAGTGTGCACTAGACTCACTGACTCCCTTCTAACAAAGAAGGGGGAAAACAGTAGCTTTATAGCAGAGAAACTGTCTGCTCCCATGAAGATTTACTTCCTCAGAAACCCTACACAGGGATGCTGCGAGTCAGAAAGGACTCAATGGCACACCACCACCACAGCAAAGAGCCTTGGTGTGGTGAAGTGCTGGCCTGCTAACAAAGGTCACAGGTTCAAACCCACCCGCTTCTCAGTGGGAGAACAATGTGATGGTCTGTTTTTATATAAAGATTTACAGCCTTAGAAACTCTGGTGGCACATTTCTACTCTGGCCTAACAGGAATATTAATCAAAATCAACTTGGTGATGGGTTGGGGGGAGGGGAGCATTGTTGTTTTTTGGTACCTTTGAATACTGTGGGAATGATGACGCGGTCTGCTTCCGTAAAGATGTGAAGCCTTGGAAAGCCTATGAGGAAGTTCGCCTCTGCCCTACAGGGTTGTGATGAGTCAGATTCAACTCAGTGATGGTGAGTTTAGTAGAGAAAGCAGACTCACACCACTTCAACTAATGGTGGCTAACATCACCAGTAGTAAGACATGGGTACCACACATTACCTGACACAGGGTAAGACGGGCAGTCCATCCCCTAAACCTATAATCGCAGTCTAATCCTGAGAAAGCACCACCAAACCAACATCGAGACACATTTTATAGTGACTGATCATACTTTTTCTAGGTGTCAAGACCATGGAAGACAAATTCCAAGAAACCACCACAAACTAGAGGAAGCTGAGAAGACCAAAGGTGCACTGTGCAGCCCTGGGGTTGAGCAGAAAAGGCACCCTCAGTGGGAAAACGGGGCGATCCTGAAAAAGTCTGTCATTTTATATGATAGAATTCTGAAAAACTAATGATTTGTTCATTTCAAATACCTTTTTTAACAGCATAAGAGATGACTATACACATGGACCTCACTAGATGGAATACAGAAAAATCAAATTGACTACTACATCTGTGGAAAGAGAAGGTGGAAAAAGCTCCATATCATCAGCCAAAACAAGGCCAGGGGCAGACTGTGGAACAGACTATCAGTTGCTCATATGCAAATTCAGACTGAAGCTGAAGAAAATGAAAACAAGTCCACAAGAGCCAAAATATGACCTTGAATATATCCCACTTGAATATATCCCACCTGAATTTAGAGATCTGAAGAACAGATATGATACATTAGACACTAAAGACAGAAGACCAGACGAGTTGTGAGATGACATCAAGAACATCATACAGAAAGAAAGCAAAACGTCATTAAGAAGACAAGAAAGAAGGAAAAGATCAAAATGGATGTCAGAAGAGACTCTGAAACTTACTTTCTACAATAGAGACGCTAAAGAAAATTGAAGAAATGAGGTACAAGAGCACAAAAGAACATTTCAAAGGTTAGTTCAACAAGACAAAATCTTGAATGAACTATGCAACGATCTGGAGTCAGAAAACACTCAGCAATTCTCAAACTGAGGGAACTGAAGAAAAAATTCAAGGCTTGACTTTCATTATTGAAAGATTCTCTGGGCACATTATTGAATGAAGTAGAAAGCATCAAAAGAATATGGAAGGAGGAGAACAAACAAGATGGCAGAGAGGGTAGAAGTGCGGTGAAGAGCTCCGCCAGCAACAACACAGAGTACCAGACCAAGCTGGCTCAGGGGATGGTGCCAGAACTCTGAAACACATATAAAGGAATATTTAGAAGGCTGGAAGGCTTACAGCTAGGGGAATCTGTAGCAGAAGCAAGAAATCCATTGCTTTCTAATTCAAGACACTCAGTTGCTCCCAGAACCACCATCTTGGGTAAGACCACGCGGGGGAAGTATCAGAGTAGCCATGGATGCCTGACAGAAGCACAGAGATAAAGGAAGAAGCATGGAAAGGGAAGCCCATCTCCTGATCACATCTACCTGGAGGCAATCAGA